TCCACTTTGACGATTTGATTGACAGGCGGAGCATCCTCCAGTTTTTCTATGAGCGCTGTTACCAGCTCCTCATGGTTGCCAGGGTAGATGCCCAGATGGTCACCAGGCTTGTAGCACAGACCATCATGGTTGTTTGTGTCGAGCCGAACTAATATAGTGGAGCGACTTAAAACAGCAAAAAACACACATGAAAAAAAACAAAGAGGCCGTCATTAAAGGGAGATATATATATATATATATATATATATATAGAGAGAGAGAGAGAGAGCTGATTTTCTTTACTTCACATGTCAATGTACAACAGAATCAAAAATGAACACACTGCACACTTTTCCATTTTAGCATTTAAAAACATGGGACTCTTGGCTAAAGTAAAAGCTTACTTTGATTTTGAACTCTGAAGGTTTTGAGCTTCAATCATCTTTGCTCCATATACTTTCTTCTTGTGAACACTGTGTAATGCTATAAAGCAGACAGAAAATAGACATTATTACCAACAGACCTTGATCCTCTGTAGGCCTGATGAACCTAATTTCTTCAGTCAACAAAAGGAATACACACATTCATATTAGGTTAAAAGTACATTAAAAGACAAAGTCAAGTCTGGATAAAAGTTCTAGGTTTATTTCTTTAAAGTGTGGGAAAAAATGTGAAATTATGAACATGAGACAATGGGGTTTGGAAAAATTCCTTATTCTCTAAAGAATATTAATTCTTTAACAATGTAAAAGTCACTTTATTCACCATCCCTGCCTTCCAGATATTATTGTCGTCTCTCTGGTGGATTCTATTATCAAAGTCGTACTGTCTCGTAAAGGAACCATATCAAAATTCTATAGCATATATTTACCTAGTTTACATGAACCAACTGATAACGTTTATTGCCGGTCTACTGATTTTCAGATAGAATTGATGCAGCAACGTGGCGGTCTATTCTGAGGCGGGAACACTTGTTCTCCAGCTGCCCATGTCATGGTGTTATACAATAAAGAATATTTCACAAGGCTCTGGAATAGGAGTAGATTGGGCTTGACCCCAATTGCCCTGGTGCATACTAGGTCCGGCAAACATTGCCTGAATGTTTTGGTTATGTCCATCTTTGTTCACATTTTGAGAATCTGTGTTTCAGTCAATTTCTGACATCACATCTGTCAATGTCCAGCCACCTCCTGTGACTGCCTTTTTTCAGTCATTTCACAGGGCCCTTCTCTTCCAGTTTATTTTGCCAACTTTGTGGCATTATTTAGGTGCATTATTTTGATGTAGAAGATACACAGTTTTTGTACTTTTTTTTGTAGTTTTTGTTGTACTTTGTGTGGGTATGTGCGAGGGGTTATTTTGTGAAGTCCTTTGGTGTAAACTTTAAATCATAAGCAAAAAAAACAGAAGAAAAAACAATATAAAAGCCAAATACCACAATTCCTGTTAAGTGCTAAAATTTTAAAATTCATTTTTTACAATTCATGTTTTGACTAAGAAACCACAGATGCAGAGCTCTTACAACAGTACCGGTAGATGAAAAGAGAATTTACTTCAGTCATTCTACTGGAATATGTATCCGATTTATCAGACTTTCATTTCCTTTAATTTGGATGAAGTCTTATAAAGCTTCTATAGAATCGTGCATGTATCATTTTAGACTGGTTTAGTCTACACCAGGGTTCATTAATCACTGTCCTGGAGGTCCGGTGTCCTGCAATTTTTAGATGCGTCTGCTTCAAGACACCAGAGTCAAATAATCAGGTCATTAGGGACTCTAGAAAATTTTACTGCAACTAAGAAGGTAATTGAGCCATTTGATTTAGGTGTGTAAGCAGACACATCTGAAAGGTGCAAGACATCAAAACATCAGGACCAGAATTGAGGAACCCAGGTCTACACCAAAATGGGGAAGACTGATGCTGATATTAATCCACAAAAAAATTCACTGAGACCTTTCAGAAGGAGGTCATATTCTTTGGAAGTTCCGTGGATAGAATAAATATGATGAAAACGAATAGAGTTAAAAACGATAAAATAATGGCGCAACGCCCCAATGGCATAACTATCATTAAGCAGCACCAGCGGTTGCTTACGCGCCCACAAACTCTCAGGGGCTCCATCACTGACACCTGGTGGGCCCCCTATGCAATTGTAGACTAGGACGTCTCTTTGCACATGTAATGGTCCGAAAAAGTCCTCTTAAAACCACCTGATACTGAAGTGACTGACCACACCGGACCGTATTTATACTGCAACACATGCCAAATTTCTAGATGGTGAGCTGTTTAAACAACACCAATAGCAAAGTAGTGGCATTTTTAATTACCATGTTAATAACTGAATAACTGTGTATAGTTTAGACGGTGGGTAAAAAATACACTCATAATATGTTTCAAACCGCAATAAAGATCTTAAAAGAACAATGTATTTGAGTATTTTATTTTTTACACTATAACTTGAAATTATGGGTTATGGGTTATGCTGAACTGACTGAAAATATTAGGTATGTAACATGCGTGCAGCAACCAAGTCGTCACATCACGTTAGACTAAAACCAGAATGCAGATTAAACCATAAGCGTTACGTACAATGTGTTAGCGATGATGGATACCAAAAAGAAGTATTTAAGTGGATTCCAGAAAAGAAAAATGAAAGAAGAGCTGCTGAAAGAACAGAAAAAACTTCAGAAAATAAACACATTCTTTCAAAGAAGGGAAGAGGTAGAGGTGACCGTTGCTGCTACTACCAGTCCAGTGAATAAAGACTGCGACCAAGAGAACACCAATATAATGCTACTTACGGGCCTATTGCTGTGTCGTTACGCCACTGCAAAGCCCATTTAGAAATGGAGTAAACTGTGGTGGAGCTCAACACTTTATGGGGTAAGCAGAGATAGTAACTCATGGAGCAGGAGCCTGCACTTTTCATTCACCCACCACTACCATAATTCCCTGACTTTGCTGTCTGATCAAGCAAATTAATAATTATGCACCATGATCGGGAAAGAAACTGGCCTAAATAAGCTCATAATGGTACAATTCAACAGTCTTCTTTTTACTGCTGGTCCTCTAGGATAATTCAACTAAACAACGAATCAAACCGAGTTTAAACTAAATTATTTTAATTGGATGAGGAATTTGGAAAAAAAAAACAGTCAAACTAAGGAAAAGTAAATGCAAAAGAAAAAACAGTGACATTTAATAGAAGGGACAAGGTGATTCTGGAATGTGCAATTGATTTTATACATTGGTGAACAACATGTAAATAAAATGAGTATCTACAAATGGACAATGCAATAGACCTAATTAGTGTGTGGGTGCGTTGCAAACACCATTACACTAATTGGTTCTTTTCAAATAATATTAACAATAACAAAAACAAAGTTTATTTATCCAGTTAAATAATAATCAACATGATTTTTGTTTGCAATAATTTTGCAGAACAGAACGTATATTTTATGCCTCTTATTTCTATGTAAAACACATTACTTGCCTCTTGACTTTTACTGTACCACACAAATATGCAAATAATAGTATGGAACCCTCTGTAAAAAACAAAAACAAAAAGATCAATATAAAAAAATTTTATCCTGTTATTTTTATTGTTAAAAATTGTCTCACTTTGCAGTAATTCTTTACACTTAATATGTAGTTGAAGACAATTATTTTCATTGGCTGGTTATTCTTTCAGTCTGAATTATTCTAGTTTCATTTGTTGTCGTTTATACTTTATTCTCCTAGATTTTGCATTTCTGCTTCATTAATATGCACAACTGCAGCACAGCCGAGTTCCCCCTCATTACTCCAAGTCAAACAGGTGTGTGGGTGTTTGGTTAAAGGATAGAAAATATGGTTATGTGCTTTAAATTTACAGATATGTTATTGCTTTTACAGCTTGGTGGTTATTGATATCACTCTGGGAGAAATATTTACCAGTAATAAACAATTATGAAAGGAGGAGAGACATGCCACTGTAAACCTGTTTTTGCTTTACAACCCCATAAGTGCCAAGTAAGAATGCAAGCTGACACATGCTGGAATAAGCTGAAGTTCTTCACTATTTCAGAACAAAGATTTTGCCTAAATTCAATTTATTAAGCAATAGAGGATTTTTAATTTAAATTAAATCAACATATGCTATTTAAAAATACTTTAATATAGTGAAGTAAATAAAAGTACTGTTTTGCAAATACATAAATGATATAATATGATGATAAATTATATGGACAATTATTTTTACAATAGTCCATTAGATGGTTACTACCATACTCCAAGAGGAGGAAATATCTATAAAAAAAATGCCATTGCTAAAAAAGCAGGCTAATCATGAGGACTATATCAAAAGATTTTCTTTTTAAGTCCTGTTAGACCTAACCCTATCCTGTAAGAGTCTAGGCGACCACTGTGATGACCAGTCAGACACTTGAAGGAGGCGGACGCACTTTCCTGCTGTTCTGTAACTCCCTGCTCTTTCCCTGCTTTGCTGTGTCTTATCTTTTCTGAGCCCTCTACATATCACCCAAGTTCAAACAATGGATCTGGTCAGCTGGTCTCTCAATGCAATTGATCAAATTTTCTCAAATGGAAGACAGGGAAAAGAGGACCCTTCCTGTCCTGCAGACATACGTTGTGGGATACAACATGCACTCCTGGAAGGCTTGGAGTATGGTGTGTTTTACAACATTATCAGTCGAAGATGTGGAAGATGCATGGATTTTCAGATGTATGATACTCGGATTTCTCCCATTTGGATTTTGGAGGATACCTGATGTATCTACAATTATAGAGGATGTCGGTGGAAATTTGGGCATTGGTCAGGCTGCAGACAGCGGTTGATGCCCTCACAAACTGTCAATGAGCAAGACCGTGAGCGTACCCATATGCTGGGTGCGATTGAACGCAGGCTGGCTGCGGTGGTTGAACTCAAGGTGAGATGGGATAATATCTTGGATAAGCACACTTGCTTCAAGGCAGAAAAGCCCAACAAATTGGGAATATTAGATTTGCCATGTGGAGCCAGCAAGAGAAGACTCCAAGGCTGACGGCAAATTCTGTGCAGCCTGCTCTCAAAAACAAAAAGTGCCATTTTGGATTAGGCCTCCCCCCTAGATGTTATGGTGGAAGGGCCCAGAACTGCCACCCCCCTGACCCACGAACACCTGTGGATGAGTCGAGAACTGTCGCGCCGGTTGATAGACTTCCATCTTATCAAGGACAATGGCCTCTGGACAGCGTTCATGGACATATTAAACACACTCATCATACATACACAACTGATGCTCAAATGTCAGATTGACTTTCACGCAACTCCAGCCTCTAATGTTTTCCTTCTGCTGAAATGTTTGGCTTGTGTTACATGTGCTTTTTTCATGCCGAGGTGTTTTTTGATATCTCACACTGTATCTTGTCAAGGACAAAGTGGGAAATATGGACAATGGATTGATGGAAGATCTACAAAACTTTGTGCGTCACTCTTCTGATAAACTTAATGGAAATCCTGCAATGGATATGTGTTAAGTGACCAACACATTATCAGTAATATGAATTTATATGCAAGAAACTTCTCTCTATACATTTTTCAACATTTATTAAGAGGAACCTGTTATACACATTTAGAAATAAAAAAAGGCCAACAAAACTGTTTCTATGGGTTATTTTACTTGATAAATTGGTAGGTACAGCTCCCCTTAGTGTTTCTGTATAACTGATACACCCCCCCCTAAACACACACACACACCCACACCCCCACCCACACCCACACACACACACCCACACACACACACTACTAGTGCCAGCTTTACAGTTCCGTGTTTGGTAATGTGACAATTCTGCAATTATGAAATATTACCAGCAGCAAGTACCAAACATGCTGCAAACACCAAGTGTGTGTAAAGGTAAAATGCTGCAAGTGCCAGCTTAACAGTTCTGTGGTTGGTAATGTGACAAAATACAGTGAAATACTTCTAAATTACAGTTATTCATATGGTACGGTAACTGCTTATTCAGCTCAGACTGTAATTTACAGGTAAACAGTCATTTTGCTAGATAAACTATCATCATGATAAATTATGTCTGCATCGAATGTATGGATCACATTTAATGATAACGTTTACACAAATCTAGACTACATGAATAATGTCGGACTCAAGTGTTTATAAAAGTAAAATAGCTTTAAATTGCATCAAAATTTCTTTCTCCAGCTAAGACTCGCATCTCTCAGATGTAATGGCTGAGTCACTGATAAATTACAGTTATTTGTACAAAGCTACTTATCAGCACTTATTGTCTGCTTAAAATCAAGCCCCCCTCAATAGTTCATAACTATGCCCCCACGTAAATACTACCTTCTGTCACCACAGGGGCCTCAGCTGTGTAGGTTAGGCGAAACTTGCTCTTTTTCCAGCTACGGTCATTGCTGATCAAGGAGTCGTTGGCCTTCTCAATGTTCACGTCATCACCAACACAGAACACATCGCAGGCAGCCTTGGAACGCAATGACACAGCCACAGGAAAGAACATCATTAGAAAAAAAAAGGTTTTATATCTACTGCATTGAAAAATTATTGGAAAAATACAAATACTTTAGAAATCAGATGGCAATAACTGCCTCAGCTTTATCAAGGTTCAGCAAAACAGCAAAGTTATTTTAAAAAGTTTCTTTTTGTGGTGGATTGTGATGTTTTGTTGCTGGAGGCTTTGGAAAATAGAACTTGGTTTAAAAAAAAAAAAAAAAAAAAAGCCCACTTTATCCAACACAAGATGAGCATTTGAGGTCTTCACCTAAGAAACTAACCTTAAAAACTTTTTTGGCCCATGTTCTGAATGATTCCTCCTGGCCACACAGCTCATCTCCCTCTCCCATGCGTAGGATGCGCTCCCCCCCCAGCTCTTCAAACAGCGTGTCCACAGCGTGGGCAAAGGCGCAGAAGTGTGGGTAGGCCCGGGAGCCAAGGCCAAACACTGAAAACCTAAACAAAAAAGTGCATTGAAAAAAAAAAAAAAAGGAGATTGCTTTAACAAAACAAACCAAAGTATAGAAACATTTTTTAATTAAGCTGTAAGCATTTTGATGCAACAGTTTTTAGCTTACGAAGCTGGTTTTGAATTTTTAAAAATATAGAAATAGTTCTGAGGAAGCACTTTAATGTTGAGTATGGCTTTGTATAAAGCAAAAAAAAAACCTGAATGTATTCCCTAAACCTAACAAACCAATTGTTGCACCCTTGGCAGCAATGAGTTCAATCAATATTTCAGATAATTGGAAAATAGGAATTTTGTGTCATTATGTTATATCATAGTTTCATTTCAGCATCAGAAAATATGAGGAGGAAAAGCTTGCATACAGTAAGGTAAACCAATGAAAGGCAAACCTTCTGGGATGTTTTGAAGTTTTCTTTTAGGATTTTTAGAGGTCCCTTAAGGCATACTGTAGATTTTTAAGGCTGCTCCTCAAGGCACACAGCCTGTCATTTCTTTAAATGTTTCTCTGCTTTGACACATCTGATTCAGACATCCGCAGTTCAGCAAAGCCTGTTATTCCAACCTCATTTGAAATCAGGTGGGTGAAACAGAGAGGCATCTAAAACATGAAGGGCAGTGTGCCTTGAAAATCAGTTTTTAGTTTTCCAAACATTTTTTGGAATCATGTTTTTTTTTTTTTCCCCATTAGTTTTGACATTTGACACCAGATTTCTTGGTATGTTCTGTTGAATCATGAAGTCTGACACTAAGAGGAGATAGGGTTTGCTATGCTTTAGATGCAAAGCTAATCTTCCCCAAAATTAGTTTATTCATTGCAAGCAATTTTGGTTGGCAGACCTCTCCGTAGAAACTTCATTATTTTCTAATAGCATCCCACACTGTTAGCTTTCAAAATGAACAACAGACTAAAATCCTTTGAAATGGTAATATTGTTTTTTTTTTTTTTTTTTTTTGGAGAACACATGTCGGCTAGAACAGTTAAAACACGTGCTTATTTTTACAAACTTGAGAACATTTGCCCTTTATTCGAAATTTTTAATCAAATTTCTACTGTGGCTAAGGGCTGCAAATACCCTGCAAATACATATTTGCACAGTTAAAAGTAAAACAATTGGGCTTAGAAACAACAACAATGAGACTTGCAAATACATAAATTAGACAAACCTGTGCAAAAAAAAAAAAAAAAAAAAAAAGAAAAAAACACTAGAAAGAAGAAATTCAGCATTTATCAGCGGCTGTGTTCTCCAAAGAGCCGGTCTACTTAAACTGGGATCTTCGGCTATGACTTAACCGGACGACGAAACTGGCCTTTGGAGGACGCAACCGTTGAATTCGAACTCAACAAATGTCACTGGACCAGACCCTTCGTAAAGTCAAATAGCATGCTCAGCCAGAGCACATTTGGAGGAAAGAAAAAAATAATATAAAGATGAAAAGGAAAGTTTGCCCTTGAAATTTTTTGAAACATTTCATCTCTCAGAGGATCTCATTTAGTAAAGATCTGGTCAAATGCGTTTATGATCGTCTTCCTCTGGTGGTTGGGAGAATTACTTTTATGCAGAGAGTTTGCAGGTTTTATTCCCCAGCAGATATTTTCGCCACTCGCAGCATTTTCTCTTTGCATATATCTTGTGTTTTTGTGTCAGCATCATTTATGTTTGCCGATTTTAAATTTGCAGTTAGTTTATACATTGCTGCTCTTTATTTTCTGTTGTGTTAGTCTCATTTTTGCATTTGCAATACAGGACATTTACACCCCTCAGCCACTGTAAATTTCTCTGATCATCGGAAATATTTAAATCTGACAAAAGCAACGCCAGAAAAAAATCTCAGCAAATTAATCAAATAAACCAATGTATATTTGAAGGATGCAATAATTGAATTTTTTCACTTAATTTAAAATAAAGTTTTGAGATCAATAATCTTTTCTTAAAATCTGATAACCATAGTCTGCTAGTTATGCTACATAATGTTAAAAAGCCTTTTAAAAATTCCTGCATCCTAATTTTGATGCGCATTATCAAATTGAATGTATTGCTCATTGGACTGAGCTGCACATCTGGTAAAAATCTCATTAAACTCCGATCATAACTTTTCAAGTTATCCTGTACTCAGGTAAACACACAAAATCTCCTAAAAACATAACCTCCTTGGTGGAGGTAATTTATTAACACAATGCCAATTCATATCAAATGTCATCTCAAGGCACCTTACAAAACCAGTTCAATTGAATCACACAGACAGATAAGTTAAAGGTGTTTTATGCAAGAAAACCCAGCTGACGACATCAAGATATTGACTATGTAGAATTCTTTCCTCCTGGGTGAGCCTGTAGTGACAATGAGCATTTGCTTGAATCCTGTTGTAGTTATTTTGTTAATTCCTCACAACCATGCATGGAGTGACAGTGGAGAGGGAACCTCCAGCAGAACCAGGCTCTGTGTCAGTAGCCTTCTGCAACAGCCGACTGGGGTGTGAAAAGGAGGCAGACACACAATAGGAGCACAGAAGTACTGATCCTTAAATACTTTACAAGTAAAAGATGGTTATGGCAAACTAGCACCACAGAAGGCTTTGCCAAGGGAAGAAACAGTTAAACATTGGAGATTGAAACAATTTTTCGCTCAAAAGGGTGAAAAAGGGCACATGAAACCTGAACCAATAGCTATGTTTAGGAGAGAAATGGGACTAAAAGACAAAAAAAACAAAAACAGAGCCAACTCTATCAAAGAAGCCGAAGAAGAGGTCTGACATGTGTTACGAGGATTTATCTTGTACAATGGCTGATGAAATTAAAAGAGGGGCTATGCTGATTAACTAAATACAGCTAAAGATTGCTGTTGTTGTGTGCCTTGGTGCCTTGTCTGGATACACCAATACAGCAGAGGAAATTAGTTTGTGGAAATTTTCACCACCTACATGAAAAAGCCGCATGCCGACGGTGGTCCCTTCTAGAGCGATTCTTGTCACACCCAAACGCAGTTTAATGACCTGCTGACCCTTGTCTCCTAAAAAGACATCAACACCACATAGTGGAGTCTCTCTTTGATTGCTTAGTTAAAGTTCATATTTGGCCTCAGCAGTTCATGAGCCTGAAAAGTTTACATGCTTTAACGAGCTGCTCCAGCTGTTTGAGATGCGCTTTAGGACCTTTTCATGTGCCTTAATTCGCATCAACTGCAGACTTTGCATTTTCAAGCATGGTCAGTGTTAATGAGGCATAAGCCTATAGCTACATAACTAGAAAATAGCTCATTATAACCCAAGCTAGGAGAGTTTTAAGCCTACCCTTAATGTAGAGGTGGTATTTTCTCCTGAAAGACTAATAATAAAAGCTGACTCCATGGGAGAGGAGTCTGATTCCTAAAATATCTGCCTCCCATTCTACTTAGAAATCCTAGGAACCTTTAGTAAACCTGCAGTGTGGGAGCAAAGTACTAGTGTTGTAGTACTTGAGATTGGTCTTTGTCTTGAGACCAGTCTCAGGACTATATTTTTAGGTTCTTGGTGTCTTCTTGATATCAGCTGCCTTGTTACTCTGCCTTATTTGGTCTCGGACAAGGCAAAGTAAAAAGGCTTGGGTTCTTTGAATGAGACTAGTAGAGACCATTGCTGATGGGCTTTGTTTATTTTTTCGTTTGTTTACTTCACTGATAAGGATAAAAAAAAAACCCTTCTTAAAAACGGTAAATAATATGGTAACTTAAAATCTTTCGTAGTGAAATTATTTCCCATAGCTGCAGCTGCCATCTGCCCGCCACTGGTGTGACACTGACTGACGCTCAACCTGTGCATCTCCCTGAGTGTAGAAAAGTGCGAGATGATAGGAAGAAAACAGCTGCATGAAAAAAGGAAAGACTAAAACTCAAAAATGTAAAGAAAACATACCTTTCTGAAATGTCAGCTTTTTCACACAGCTCATTTAAATTAGCTTGTACTGACTTTATCTATTCTTTTATTTGAAATTAGTTGCTTTGGGAAAAAAAAAAAAAAACGCACAAAGATTGTTTTTGCATACATTTTGAAAAAAAAAAAAAAAAAAGGTCCAAATTGTACAGATTCTGCCATTGTGAACCAAGATGTAATTTTAAAGGTATCCATCTTGATACACACAAACAAAATTAGAAAATATTTTCCTTTGATGTATACATGGTCTTGTTTTGGTCAAGTCTTTTTGGTCTCGTCTCGTGTCTGTACTCCTTGGTCTCGGGAATGTCATGGTCTCAGTCAGCATAGTCTTGACTAGTAAACTACAAAGTGCTCCTTAAGGAACAAAAGGAACAATCAGATCTGAGACATGATGTAGCTTGCTTAGGTAATGAATAAGAAGAATGTCAAATTGTACTCTTAAATTAACCGAGTCAGTAATAACTGGCTAAGATAAGAAAACTGATATTCAACATAATCAGAACTCCAACTGCAGCATCTTTGATCAGCTGAAATCTTTGTGTACTTCCTGATAGTAAAGAACTACTACTGAAACATAGTATCCCAGTAAGCCCTGCTCTGCAGTAACTAATGCATTCACTGTTTGTTAGTGTCACTTTCTCATAAATATTCTGGAAATCCATTGAATGACAAATACCAATTAAATCCAACACTAAGGTTTTTGTTTTATCTGTGGCCAATTTATCCAGAACATCTGAAGACATCCAGGTTTTTATATCTTTTGAGATATTCCTCATATCTAGTATTTTAGAATTAATATAATTTATGAACAAGTATAGCCAGGTATCATGAGAATAAGAGGGACCATCTTACCAAGTCTGCTAATTTTTGCAATTACAAGCATATATTGTGTAGTAATAAATGGTCCTAGCACTGAACCCTGTGGTACTCCACAGGTAACCATGAGCATTAAGAATAATTTTTAATAGCACAAACAAACAGAAAAACTGACAAATAAAATAGCCAAGTTTTGTTCCCCTGATTTTCACCGGCTGGTTCAGCCTTTCTAAAAGGATATAACTCCACTTACCCTGCATGAAGTAAAAATCCTCCACTCTAATGTCATAATTACTTTTTAATTTAAAATCAGATAGAAAGTCTGAAAACTGAAGCAGAAGGAGTTGATTCATTTATAACATAATACTCCTGGTGCAGTCATATTTCATTAAGACAAAATATATCAATCTGGTAATCACAATCAGATCAGAATGAATATCACAAAAGAAGCCATAGTAGAGCTATTGCTAGGTAAGCAATACCTGCACTATGCTATGAAGCAAAGTTCCCCGGAAGAAAAATAAAAGAAAATCAGTAGTACAAATGCGTTTAATCATCTACAGTATATGTACAGGTAAATTAGTTTAGAGATGAACAGCAAAGAGAATCAAGAGCAAATCGAGAGGATCTGAAACGCCACCGATCACCAAATGCAACGGAAAACAGGAAGTGATGCTGTACACCTTACCGTATTCGAGCACATAACCTGGGGTTCGGTTTTCTATAAAAATGGGAAAAAATCTGGTAAAAATAACATAGACCTTAAGAATAACCCTAAAATTTTGCAGGATATATCAGTCGAGGGATAGAACATATTGTGGAACAATCAATCACAACATCTGGATTTTGAGAGAGTGTGACCTACAGTATCTGAAGATAAGTGCTCTAAATGCACACAGACCTTACAGTAGAAATTACCCTGAATGCAGCAAGGTACTTTGACTAACTCATAATTTCACAATTGAGTTTCAAAAAAATTGAGTTATTTTGAGTTACAGACTACAATGTAAGTATGAAAATACAGGGCACACAGATGTCCAATCATCAGCAGAGTATGATAATGTTGAACATGAAGTCATATTTAAATCAATGGAACACTTGTCATTTATAACTTAATCATAGAAAAACTCTAGAAAATTGTTTCAAAGTGAGTTTATATAACTTACTGAAGGTAAAACGGAAACCTGCATCATTTTCCAGTACTGAAGCTAACAAATGGTAAACTGTAAAACTGCAGAAAAAAATTACCCAAAGCCTTCCACATTTCAGTTTTAGCATTTTGTCCTAGTTTTAAATGTTTCTAATCGAACAAATTTGATTTAAAAAAAGATAACTGGAGCAAACAAAGAGCGGCTCTCAAATTATTATTTTATCAACTAGGCTAAAGACCAAAAAACAACAACAACACATAACATTAAATGCCCTGATTGAAAAAGAAATAAAACACACCAAAAAAGACAACAAAAGAAAGCATGAACAGATTAGAAATAAATGGATCAGCTTTTGAGAGTCAGTAAGCCACTTCTATGGCTCTGTTCCAATGAACCACAGCAACATAAACCAGTACAGAGCTACTGACAAACCTAGGTCATCACAAAAAAAAAAAAAAAGAAGACTTTCAGAAAGTATGTGCCATCTGGCATCCTACATGAAATTAACAGTATCAGAAAAACATCAACTGCATTAGAAACGTATCCTGTCATCATCCATCAGACTAGTTCTGTGATAGACTTCAAAATCTGGATTACATTTAATGGAACCATAAATTCTGGCATCAACCAGAAAATCCTGAGGGATCAATATTTATGTTAAGGGAACAAGCTTCCTTTCTCTCTCTCTACACAGGCATGAGTTGGTTTGGACTCATTTTTGAAAGGTTTCTTTGGAAAGTTAAGTCTGCATATTGCTTTCTAAAATGTTTGATGATCTGAAACGACCATAAATGAATTTGAGAAAAGATACCTGTGAATTCTGCACATGCTTTCAAAACAACATTGCATGTTGTGCAAAACAAAACATTGTGCAAAGAGATGGAAAAGCATTTTTCTCACTTTAATACAGACACTAGAATTGATCCAATTTCAAGATCTGCAGTTACATACCGTGGATATATTTCAAGAATAGCTTATAATCCTAGTAGATGAAACCAAAACAGATTTTTTCATAGAAAATTTTACTTTAGCTTAAGAAAAAGCTTGATTTTTTCCGGTCCAACTTTATAATGTGTCCATAAGGATCCCGAGGCAAAGATTTCCTCGACATGATTCCATTGTCATGCAGCCTGAATCTCCTATTCATCTTGTTTTATGATCGTTATTGCTTTAAGGGTTGGATATTTGAACACCCTCTGGGCCTTTGGAGTCAATGAAAAATAATCTCAGTCATGAGAACATAATGCCAGGCCTTATTAGTTTACCTGACATTAGCAAGCGGTCCTGTGCTCTCAAAATTGATCTTGACCTCTGGTTCATCACTGGAGGACTTCCGTGTATCTGAATAAGAGGACACACTGTTGAATCGAACCTTGTAACTCCTGTGGATGGGACAAGAAGAGAGGGGTCAGAGAGGTTTTTCTTTTAAACACAAAAGAAAAAAAAAAAGAACATAAGTGTCCTTACTTTCTGTCCTCTGTGTTGGAGGTGGGGTGGCGCATTTCCATTAAGGCAGCTCCGAATTTCTACCCCAACAAGTAAAAGAGGTTTTTTTTTTCCTACATATCATTTAACAAGACCTTTGATGAATTGGATATTTACCTCTCCATTTTCAGGTGGATCCCCGTTGCCAAATGTACTGGTTACAACTAAAACAAGTGTCTCATGCTCCAAGTCCACCACATCGTATTCATCCATGGACATGACCTGCGAGCCAAGGATCTCTATTAAGAGGGAATCTCAGCTACCAAAATGTTCCAGATTCATCTCACTTCTCTCTTCACATATCACTTGACAGATGCCTTTAGCTTGTAAATTAGGGCTGAACACACAGCCGCTGGCAAACGAGTAGGTTGTAATGACCACTCTGTCTTCGCCTCTAACGAGATGATAATATGCTGCTGCCACACACATTGAGCAGCCATGATGCACACTGCTCAGCATGGTGCGTGTCTGCCATGGGCTGAGCTTGGATCTCACACAAACATACACACACAAACGCAATGCTGCACAAGCAAAAGGCGTGAAGAGGAAACAGGCTTTAGCCCGCAACAAAGGTTTGCCCCTGGCATTCACATCTGCCCTCCATTTGCACACACCCACTCCCACTGACGCACAATTGCATGCATGAGTGTCTTCTTGTGTAATTGATCACACTGCAAAAACAGGAAGGAGAATTAAGATGCACCCTAGAGGAAATGCACCAAGTACATGATTGAGAGCAGCATCTTTTGCTCTTTTAACAGATTTGCACAGCCAGGAATGCTTTAGGATGTTGTCTTAAACTAGTATATGTGCAATGCCTCAGTGAGTAAAATTGGCTCTGAGCAGTGGCACTTCAAAGAGCTGAAATAAAAACCATTTTCTTCACTTTTTATTAGTTGTCCTTTGCTTGCATTTCTATGACCTTATTCAATTAAACAATTAAATGATTGAATAAGGCAATGCGGGGAGAAAAAGAGTTGGTTAAATGTTTTCCTTTATAAAGTCAAGAATTGCTGAAATCTAACATAAAATCTAGCTCAACCATTAAAGCCACTGATGCAAGGCAGGTGCAAGAGTACCTTGGCATCAAAGGCGTGCTTGAAAATTTCACAGAGAGTTTTAGCGTAGTCTTGCGATTTTCCCGTTTCAGTGGCAAACAGTATGGTGGCTTTAACCCTCTTGGCCATGGCTTGCCCCATTAACTTTGCTGAAAATTTCACAGCCCTGTAGAGGAGATAAGAGAAAGCTGGAGTGAATGAGACAACAAAAAGAGCAAGCATCTGAACCATGCAAGGTAAACTGATTTTAGGGCACAGTGTGGAGTCTTTGTTTCTCCTGCAATGATCCAAAGGCAATTGTTGTTAAGCTGCTACTGCAGGTAGCTACGGATGGGTGACAATTCTGATTACCTACCTTGTACTTTCCTTGAGGCAATTATATTAATAGCAGTTCATACATGCACACAAGCGCATGCATAGACCAAGAAAAACTGACAGAATGCTGATTACTCCCAGAGGGGTTGATTGGATGAATTTCACTGCTGAGTACATTAGCCTCCGTTTCATGGGTCTTGCTTTTATCAGGAAGGTGATTACTTGTTTAAATTAGCTTTACACAAACTCTATTATCTTTGACATTGCTGCAACATATACTTGGCTCTGTGAATAAGCCAATAAAAAACAATAAAAGTAAGCATATTTACTTGGCAAGCTTCTTAAATCCAATGGCTCTTTTCTTTGTGGGTGTCCCGTTGACTCCTTTCCACACATGGGTGTTCCAAGGATCAGGCTTTTGCACATAGAAAAGAGATAAGACTCAGTTTAATTTGGATAATTTCACAAATTTGACGGCTACCTTTGGTTTGCAAGGGTTATTTTTACCCTCATCTTCCTCACCTGGTACTCAAAAGAAGGTGTAAGACGATAGTTGAGCATTTCTTGGTGAAAAACTGGAGTAATGCTTCCTGACATTGGAGGCACGATCCACACCCAGTCTCCAGGGCAGCCTCCTCTCACACGATACTCGTTCTCCATGTGCTTCATGAAGGACTCTGTGGCTGAGTGATGGTCTACAATGGTCACTTTGCAGGTCTGGTACATGTATAAAAAAAAGGGTAAGGAAAAGTAATTTTATTTCCATTTAAGGTGCAGAAAAAAATGTCAACTAAAATACCACAAAAAGCTAGGCACAAAGTTTACAGGTGGAAGAAATTCCCTCAGAGTGTCTCAAGAGGAAGAGTATCAAGTATCTTGGGATTCTGTTAGAGTGAAGGGGCGAATGAGGTGGGAGATTGATAGAGTGAAGGGGCGAATGAGGTGGGAGATTGATAGAGTGAAGGGGCGAATGAGGTGGGAGATTGATAGATTTTGATGAAGAAAAAGCTGAGAGAAAAGGTAATATCTGTCGATATTCCTACCCTCATCAATGACCATAAAATCTGGATCATGGCCTAAAAACATGAGATCCCTGATACAAGCGGCTAATAATAATGGAACTTTATTGATCTCTCATTGCAGAAATTTACCTCTGTATTTAACCCATACCCTTTGGGGAGCAGTGGGCTGCCATCCTGTGCGCCTGGGGAGCAGTGTGGGGTTAAGGGTCTTGTTCAGAGACCCAGAGTGGCTATCTGTGGGAGTGGTGCTTGAAATCAGAACCTCAGGATTCCAAGCTCTATGGAACCACTAGGCCGCCACTCCCCACCACTCCCGCTTTGTCACTCTGCGGAGTGGTGTCACTTAACCTCCACATTAAAAGGAGTCAGCTGAGGTGGCGCGGACATCTTTTTTGGATGCCCAGTGTAAACCTGGCTCTGGAGGTGTTCCAGGAACGTGTCACCTGAAGGAGGGCCAGGGGACAACCCAACATTCAGGCTGAAACTTTTAGAAAGGCACATCAGCCAATCACTAGATTAAGAATGATACACAAAAGCTTAGGGATGCTTTTCATTTAAATGCATTTAAGAGTGAACAAAGCAACTTATTCTAAGTTGTTATGACAAAACCCAAAGCTTTAAAAATATAGGTAATAAGCTTCTTCACTCACTACAGTTTGCTCTGCTTGAATTGCCCAATCAAGTCCAGCCTTCAGGAAAAAGTTGTCAAAGATTGTAAAAACTGGTAACAAAAAAAACATGGCATTTTGCCTCACAAACAAAATGGCTCTTTTAGGGCCCTTACTAGGGCTGAAACAGTAGATTAATTATAATGATGATCAATCCAATTATTATATAGTTAATTTTTAAAACGATTGAAATAATGGTCAACTAAATTAGTAATGGAATAATCCTTAACTGGAGTTTAAAGTCTAAAACATGCCTTTAACTGACAGAGCAACCCATTTAAAGCAGTTACTTTACCAAGATTGTATAAAATATAAGAACACTTTGCATTTAAGATAAAAAAAAAAAAATAATCATCTGTCAATATACTCTATCCAGAACTCCTCAAGAGGAGAAGTTTGAGTTTCACCTGGTTTGATTTCGTAGAGATTCTTCTTTAAAGAATCTTTGCTTATCTAATTAATCAAAAAAGTTAACAGATTAATCAATTTCCAAAATAATGGCTAATTGCAGCCCTAACTGCAACCATAAACTCATCTAAACTAAAGCTGGGATTTATCAGGGTTTTATGTAATGGGTCAAAGACGTTAAAAATTTACTAAGATGATTAAACATTATATATATTCTCTATGTATTTTTTATATAAAAAATATACACTTCTTGTTTTTGGATTGAACTTTTTTACCAGATTATCATCATTACAGGCAGACTTTTTTTTTTTACACTTTTTGTAAAACAGCTGAATTCGAGTCATATTTGGCTGAAAAGATTTAATGTTCAAGTATTCCCACTAGTTTTGACATACACTTTAGTCTGTATTTTGACAGCAATTTTCCTATAGTCATTTTTGATTTAGCGCCAATCCTTTATCAACACACTACAAAATATTTCCTTTTTAGGCTGACACAAAGCTTTGCACCCCCCTGATGCATAATGCTGTAACTGCCATGATTTACCATGGAGACCATTGCATCTCAAGCTACATGCAGCGATGGCATTTTACCATCTACAAAAGATTTAGTTTGATGAAATGCTTTGTTGTCTCTGTAATATGGTGTTCTCTGTGTTTCTTTTAATAAAGAAAAAATAGACTTCCTATTGCTTTCCTTTAGCAACAAATTTCAGCCACTTTTCCACAATAATCAGATTTTTGGAGTGCAATGCCTGCAGTCCTCACCATCTGCTTTACTTGAAAAGTGAATTATACAGTATGCAGCTCCTCCAAAGACACCACAGTTTTCAGGATCTAGAAAACTAAATTGTGCTTGATGAATAGGTTAACTGTATGGATATAGTTTTCATTCTAATCCTGCTTTAAACCTAAATGGCATTCTGCTGTGTTTCTGGGTTTTTACAATACTTTATTTCACAGCCTTTAAACCCAAGGCCTTCCAAGAAAAGCTAAATTTATAATTTCACACATAAGTTAATTTTAGTGCAACCACTTGCCTTTAGAAGACCTAGTCACTAAAATATTTAAAACATTAAAATAAAGGGATCAGATTTTTGTACAAAACTCATGTTATCTCACCCAGTTTTGTTTTGTCAACTAAAATTCCCAAAGAAGAATTTCACTGCCAACAAAAAAAAACAAACTAAAAACAACTTAAACTAGTATCGACTAAGCACCTCTGAATCTGTTTATATAAGCAAGCAGGAGTTAATATAATGGTAAAGACAGGTAAATAAACGTGTAAACTGGAGAGTCAGTCTGCTGGTTAAATATCCTATGATTGTGTTGCATCATAGCAGCTCAAATGTCATTTTTAGTTTTATTAAGCTTTGTTTACAACTTATAGGTCATATATATAGAAAACACCCTTTCTGTGATGAAGAGATTACCTTTGTAAACAAGGAACTTGCTGAGAATCCAATATGACAAAAGGTTTTGTTGTCCCAAGAGGCAAACACACCTTCTATTCCCTTTAAATCTATTTTTGGTGAACAAAGCATGCAATCACCTGAAAGCTGTAGAGAACAGCAATATTAATCTCCACAAGTGCCTGGTCTTTCCAGAGGGAAGAAGTCTTCCTAGTGTCTAAGCCCATCTTGTTGGCAACCTCCTACAAAACATAGCACAAGGATAAATGAGAGAACATTTAAATTCTGTGGTATAGATACTGAACAGCTTTGGAAAGTTGTGTGTGCGCGTGTGGGTTGTGTAAGGATGTTTGTGTGTGTGTATGTGTGTGTTAAATGTTTATTGCTTCTCTTTGATGAGTTTGATATAAACTTAAAACATTTCTATACATTGTCAACATCTAAAAGCGTAGATCTTTTATCATACGATGTGATGAATTTTACACATGCAGATTAAAAATGATGCAGTTCTGGTCATAAAGTTAGGGTGATATCACATATATACAGAATGCTAGTTAAAACTTTAAAATACAATTTATTAACAACAACTATTGATAATGCACAAACAAAAAAAAAATATATATATATATATAAAAAAAAAATAGAAGATATGTTAAAGATATCAGTCAGAAAATGTACATTAATTTCAAGCCTTCATCAGGTTTATAGTGTTCTTCCTTTGTACAGTATAGTCATATTCTTTGTTTATTTTATGATGCTAGCTGTAAAGTAATTTCCCTCTGGGATTATTAAAGTACTTCTGATTCTGATTGTTATGCTATCCCTGAATGTGATGTGTGGTATGAGCCTTTTTGTTTTTTTTTGTTTTTTTACAGTCATGTTACTCTAATATAGTCAATGACAAATTCTTAACTAGAGCATGAGTATGAGATAATTTTAAAGTTCAGGCCAAGGTTCAATACTATACTAGTCATAGTTGGTTTCGATGGTTTATGCTGGTGAAGATTCTCAGTCATCCAGCTCATAGTCATCCCTAAAATGTTATAAAAACACACCACTGGACTTTCCAAGTTTGAAGATGTTTCGCTGTCCATCCAGGAAGCTTTTTCAATTCAAAATGTCAGGAATAGCGTTGAGTTTGAGACTTTATAGAGTGGACTGTTTTTTTCTTTTTAAACTTTTTTGGAATACTAGATGGTTTTATAGAAATGTTCATCAATACAGGGACTGCAAAACCAGCCCAACCACAGACTCCCCAAACAATACAGTTGACATTAGAGTTTGTGTTGATTTACTGAGTTTGTCATTATTATATATAGGTATCAGCAAATTATTAAATAATTCTGCTTTGTTGTTTCTAAATAACATGGTTCCAGAGTTTTTGTACCTTAAGAGGCAACTGCTTTGCTAAACCATGAACTCATACACCATGAAGAACAGGTTTTTTCTGGCAACCATTCCATATAAACATAATTGTTTTACTAATTGTACTGTTGTGGACTCTGAACTTACAGGATGTAGGACAACAAATATTTTTTTGTGATTTTTTGCAAATACCAGGAGAATTTCAGTCTTACATCGGGGGGTTGTTGGAATGTCTGGAAAAATTGGCACATTTTTAAATATTTTTTATTGAATGGTAATAACCCACTAGAGTGGAATTACAAAAAAAGGCCAGATAACCTTTCAGTTTGTCTCTCCAAGGTCACTGGTGTTATATTTACTCTTTATTCAGCAAACTAGCAAAAAATCCTCCTGTTTTTAAGTGGTTTTCTTTTCTAGAGTTCGCTTTCACATTTTGGTGAAAATTTCGTTTAATTAAAAGGAAAAGGATTTAGTTATTGTTAGATAATCTTGGGTTATATTCACCCATTTTTTAGAGCCAATAATGGAAAAATGATGCTCAGTATTACAGTTTGTTAAAAAAGAAAATGTTAAAAAGTAAAAAGCAAAAAACATTGTTGTCCTATTTAGAAAATCCTCCTCTAACGTTGTATGAAATAAAAAATTAAGAAAAAAGCCAAAGGACATTCAAACTGTAAGGCTTCACCACAAATCGATCACTTTAGTTACAGCACAAATAAAAGCTGGCCACCCGTGTATCTTGAAGTGCCCTTCAAAATTGCACCACTCCTATATAGGCTGAATCATTTGAAAACGCTCATCTCTACTTGTGTAAGTCTTTATATACAAAGGTCTGGACATTTTTTTCCCCCTTGCTGCACTTTATGGCTTTTAAAGGCAAATCCATGTATCTATGATAGATAAAGCCCACATCCCACAGATAATAAAATACTGACAAACCCTACACATGCTTACAAGGATAATTTGATTCATTTGGCTCATTTGGTAACAACACATGTTCATCTTGACACAAGGCTGCCGTCAATCTGTCCCTTCAGTTCTTTTTCCTGAATCTAATGTCACATGACGATTTTATTTTTTTCTGACACAAGAATGTTACCTCCAGAATGTTGTAGCGTGAGCTGTCACAAAAGTCCCTCACGCCGATCTCTGTGCCCATGTACCAGCCACTGAAGGGGCATCCTGTGAACTCAAGACCACCAATCTCCAGCAGCATGTTTGCAACTGCTGGGAGGCCATACCACTTCAACTCCAAGTCCTTGAACCAATCAAACCTGGGAGAAGTGAGCAGAAGGGAAAAATGGTGACCATGGTTACGTCAGATAATTCACTCCATTATCCACTGCCAAACTAGCAATACGCTCAATCACTAGAATTGTTAGGAGCCGGTATAAGTGCCTCGGAGACATGGAGCAAAAACCAGTGTGTTCAAAACAAGCATTAACAAAAAGAAGCCCATTGTTAAGGCTTTTTAGTACTGTCCAAAGGAAGTGTGGCCTCTTGAAACCTTTAGGGGGATTGATAGAATTGCTTTCAGGCTATTATTTGCAGTGCTGGGTTTAATCTTGTGTAATGATGAGATACGATGGGCTGCCGAAGCTTGTGCCAAGCTGCTGCCAGAGCTAAGGGCCAGCTAATACATGCGTACGGAAAAAAAAATAAAGCCAAATCTGGGGGAGTCTGGCAGGCTGATTTATGTGTCAAGGGATTTTGAAACACTCTGTAGTGTTTAACAATGCTTTTGTGGCTTGGAATGCATCTGTTTGTATTTGTGAATGATAGTGTGGCTGCAAAACCAGAGTTTTATTTCATTTTTTTGTGTGATTACAATACAACCGAGAAAGTGCAGCTTAATGATTAAGACTCCAAGGTTTTTGTGGCTTTTGTGATTTTGGCTTTAATTTTTCTTTTTTTTTGTGGCAGGAAAAGTAAACAAATTAATAAGAGATATGAAGCTCGAAATCCCACAAGTCCCATGGGTGCCACAAAAAATAAAAATAAAATAAATAAAAACAAGCTCTAGTTGTGCTATTGGTGTATAATAGGCACAGTTGGAATGTGACAATAACCAATCAGCCTTCTTGGCATGAAATTAGTCCATTGTTTGAGAAGTGTAGTTATAAGATATGCAAGTGGGTGGATATCCCTCTGTGCAGCCTCTTCTGTTCTCATTTTTGTTACATTCTGTGCATCTTAAGAATTTTTAAAGAGAAAAAGAAAAACTTACTTTGGATGGATGATAGGCACCTCCAATATGAGGTCTTCAGGGATCTCAAAAAGCTCTGGGTCGTTTCCATTGGCTTGCAGCAGAAGGGGAAGGACGTCAAATCGACCCTTCGGTGCTTTCCACCCAAGCTGGATGCAGATCTAGGGATGAATGTACAAAATCTTAGCCTATGAGGCCAAAGAGGTGTGACATTTTGTAACCGTATCTAACTGATATGTACCTCTGTGAATTCCACATTAGCAGGGTCTCCCAGAATACTTCCGTCAGGCTGTTTGTAGCCCGCATATCGAATCAACTGACTGTTCCACACACGGAAATCGTGTTTACCATCAATCCTCTGTGGAAATATGGTAATAGCAGACCTGCAAAAAGAAAGATGGCATTTTTAATGCCAATAAAATATTGAGATTCTAAGATAAAATATCACATACTTAAAAAAGGGTGCTTCAAATAAAAATCATGAACTGTGCATTGTGTTGATCTAGTCCTATAACAGAATAGAATTCAGCTTTATTGTCATTACATTGTCACAGGTACAAAGTAACGAAATTCACGCTCTGCGTGATCAACCCATCCCTTTGGGGAGCAGTGGGCTGCCATTGTGTAGCGCCCAGGGAGCAGTGTGGGGGATAAGGATCTTGCTCAGTGACCCAGGGTGGCAGTCTACTGTATGGGAGAGGGTCTTGAACTCAGATCCTCTGGGATCCAAGCCCAGTGCCCTAACCACTCGGCCACCACTTCCCTCATATATAAAGAGAACATTACAGAGCTTTTGTGTAGGCAAGCGTTAACATTTTAAACCAACTTGACCATAACTGTCAGGCAGAAGGGCCATTTTAACAGTTACTCATCTAGAAATGCCTGATTACACCAGAAAAAAGAAATGTAGTTTATAAATTGCCCTCTGGTGACATCCCTGTACTTTAGTGTGATCTTTACACCGTTTTTTTGAAGTTTAAGGTAAGGGAATAGTACATCAGGTGATCCAAGTGCTACATTAATCAAGTAGACCATTAACATTGATGACACCATACAAGCCTGGTTATGTGCTGCTCAGTCCAGATCGCAATGGTGTTTTAATGCTCTTTACGGGGTGAGATTGTTAATGCTGGTAAGCTGGTCGTGAGTAACTGAGGAGGGTGTGATGGATTGCCTGAGCGGCTGGTCTGAATCTGGGCCAGATGTGCACTAAGTAGTAATGGTAGGGATTTACAGACATTTCTCTTTGGATAAAAGATATGCTATTATCAGTTATTTGTGGTAATTCAAGAATCAGTTGGCAGGGGACCAAAAAAAAAAAAAAAAAATCAGGATTTCCTTTTATTCAACTGGCACTGACGAGGAACTGGGCCAGTAAAGATGACATTTGAATAAGAATAATTT